ATGATTTTGCGCAGCCCTGCTGCCCTGTAACAGTGGTTCTACTACAGTGCAGCGGGAAAGTGCTTAACAGGGGTGAGTCCTCTTTTATTACTGTGTTATTAGATTTTATTTTTTGATGTAATATTATTGTTTTCTCTTCCTCCCAGTGGACAGTGATTTAAATATCTTCTATGAAATCTTTATCTATGATGTTTGATGAATTGATGTTAAAATCTTGATTTCACTTTTGCTTTGATTATAGAATACTGGAAGCTATAATCCCCCTGCTGATAGAGTAGGTGTCCTAGATCCTGAAGATGCATGGTGATCCATGAAACAAGTGGACCTATTTAATCAATTTTGGACGCCGACTCCGGGGTTGTAACTTTATATGTACATGTGCATTTTGATTTACTTACAGTTCATTTCTATAATGAAAATAATGTGTTTAATTTATTGGTTTTAAAATGCAATTTGTGCATATAGGCATATCTATAAAGTCCCTTTCTTTTTAAAATTATGTTGAAGGGAAATTTCCCCAATAGTACAGGAAAGAAAATGCCCTACTTTATTCAAAATTAAAGCAAAATTATTTGGTTTTGCTCATGCTTTATAGTAGCTGCGTGTCTACAGTATTATGGATCTCTGTTAGTGGATGCTGAAAAAAAAAGACATATCATGCAATCTCAAAGCATATTCATAGTATATGTAGCTGGAAAATCTTTGTTTTACAACTAGACATTCCTTATTCAAGTAGTCACAATCTAAAAAGATGCAACACTTTAAGGTCCCCCTTATTTATTGTACTTATATAGCGCCGTCAATTTACACAGCGCTTTACACATATATTGAACATTCACATCAGTCCCTAACCCTCAAGGGGTGTACAATCTAAGGTCCCTAACTCACATTCATACACATATCAGGACCAATTTAGACAGGATCCAATTAACCTACTAGCATGTCTTTGGAGTGTGGCAGGAAACCAGAGTACCTAGAGGAAAACCACGCAAGCACAGGGAGAACATGCAAACTCCATGCAGGAGATGCCATGGCTGTGAATCGAACCCACGACCCATTTACTGCAAAGCAGATGTGCTACTACTAAACCACTGTGCCTATATTACTAAGGGGACCCTGTGTGGCTCAGAAACATCACATTTTTGTATATGATGACTTTTTGAATTTTAAAAAAAAAAGCTGATTTTTTTTTAGATTTTACTCACTACCTACTTAGCAGTTATTGACTGCAAAGTTGGAGTCTAACAATGATTGGCCAGTAGATGTCACTGTTTCTCTATCTTTTACTATGACAATTTCTTATTGTATATGAGCTGCCTATATGCAGACATTTGCTTTTGCTGTTTGACTTATTTCACATGTATTTTGATATTCTTTACACCATATTAAAACACTATCATATTCTATAGGCATTATTTTAGTGTTTTCAAGTACTGATTTATTTACTGATGTTTTGAACTTAGAGATGAGCAAATGTATCTGGGTTTGTTGCATTGGGCTTTTGTCGAGCCCATCATGAAGTCTGAAAACTGCAGATTTAAAACTGAACCCTATTGATGTCTACAGTGGGTTGAACCTTTAAAATCAATTCTGCCCTTTTTCAAAGCCAGGGATTGTAAAAGAAGATTACTAGGAGCTGGGCACTGTCATAAGGGACATGTATCAATACAAAAAAAAACCCATAAAAATACTATACAAGAGGTGACACTTTAATTCCTGGAATTCATGCGGTATAGCACTGTGGTGGTGAGTCACACAGTCATTCGCACTCGAGCATTTTCTGATATATTCTAACTTGCACTCACCTGGGTTATAGACCAGTTGACTCAGTCTTAATGGAGTAATAGCAGAAATAACACGTATGTTGTGCTGTTAGTAGAAAATGAGTGACAGGAATCTGGAGCAGCAGATTGACATAAAATTTTGCTTATGGTGAACATTCCATGAAGAAATCAAGTATTTTTGAACGCACAGGAAGTTTATAGAAGGGAAGGGAAGATGTCCACAATGACCCAAAAAGTGGGCAGCCAAAAACACAAAGGATGGATGCAAATAGAGTATCAACCCACGTATGCTCAGATCGAAGATTGAATGTACAAATGATGGCAGAAGAACTGAACATGAACATGCAGCAGATACTAAAGATTTCCACAAAGATGGTGCCTCAAATCTTGACAGAAGATCAGAAAGAACGTCCTCTTCAAATTTCATCTGCACTTTTGAAGAATGCAGAAGTGTTCGATATTTTTTTTTACAGTTTATTCCAGGAATTAAATTGTCACACCTTGCACAGTGGGAAGTGGGTCCACCTTTGAAAAGAGAAGAATGGCCAAAGCATTTTTTGGCCATACTTTTCTTGTGGGTCACAGGAGTGCACTTACTTGTGCTCTCCTGTGACCTAGAGTCAGCTGACAGCACGCTAAAGCCTGCTGTTGACTGATGTAAAAAAAACAGGTCCAGGCTCTGGAAAGATCCCAACCACGTTGTTGGGATCCACCCAGCTGCTTGATTGTGGCTCTCAGCAGGCAGCTGAGAATTGAAGCCAGCTGAACCTGCATGCACTCCACCTCTGTGCTCCAGTGAGTGCTGGAGGAACAGAGCAGGGAGCAGTGACTGACAATCACCACTCTCTGTTCTGAGAAGACCAATAGCTGAGTGATCAGTGGTCACATGATCACTCCGTTTTTGATCCTAGAGCTGGGGGACAGCTGCAGCATCACAGCAATGATGCAGCATAGAGGTGAGTATGTAGGGTTTTTTTTTTAAGTAACCTCATATATCTCCTTTAATGGGACATTGAGGACAACGTAAAAAAACAATATTTTCAATTTTATGCTTGGTAAATGCCTTCAACTGTATGTGGTGTGTAACAAAACAGTATCATTCTCACACACAGGATCAGCAACACAATATTCTGGCATCACATACATGTGTAATTGATTTTTTACAGTTACATTACTGTTTGGCTTAAATACAGCAGAAACCCAATCTGATGCATTGCTACTTGAAAAAAAAAGTTTTATTTAGATAGTTTTGGTGGTGACACTTGATTTTTTTATCCAGTGGTAATAGGTCTGAATAGTGGAAGCAGCAGCCACAACAGATCTAAAATCTACTGTTAAAATAAATAAAGCTGAAGCCCTTAACTTTCTACCAGTGCCAAAACTGTTTAATAGCATATGTAGCCACCCTGCCCTAAGCAAGTCTTTCTATTAAATTTTGTGGTTCTAAGCTGCAGTCAACTTTTAGTTTCTATCTGCTGCCAGTAGGTGTCACTAATGCCTCTGGCAATAGTATGAGAGACTGCACTAATAAGAGCTATGAATATGTATATCTCCCTGGTCAACCACTAGGAGGTTTTTAAGCCAGTGGTGCAAGCGGGGGGATGGTATAAATATTAGGGACTGACCTTGTGAAGTCAGTTCTTCCCTTGACTTTCTCCCTAGGGAAAGGATGTGTTTGGGTTTTGAATCCTCTTATGCCTGCTACCTAAGGAGAGTGACCATGTGCATGGACCAAGTTCTGAAGGCCTAACTTCTTAAAAACAGGGATCAAGGTGCCATCAAAAAATTCCAGAAGTCCTGAGGGGCCAGATCAACTGGGAATTGAAGTTAGGACCTCACTGGGTATGGCATCTTATCCCCAGGGTATTGGCAGCTGAACTGACAAGTGCCTTACAGTCAGGAGCTACATTCACAGAGTGCCAGTCAGCTTTAAGGTTTTCCATCTGTGAAGACCGTATGTACTTTGTTCTATATACACTATATTGTCAAAAGTATTGAACTTTAATGGCATCCCAGTCATAGTCCATAGGGTTCAATATTGATTTGACCCACCCTTTGCAGCTATAACAGCTTCAACTCTTCTGGGAAAGCTGTCCACAAGTTTTAGGAGTGTGTTTATAGGAATGTTTGACCATTCTTCCAGCAGCACATTTGTTAGGTCAGGCACTGATGTCAGGCGAGAAGGCCTGGATCACAGTTTCTTCTCTAATTCATCCCAAAGGGGTTCTATCAGGTTGAGGTCAGTACTCTGTGCAGGCCAGTCAAGTTCCTCCACCCCAAACTTGGTCATCCATGTCTTTGTTCATTGGAGCACAGTCATGTTGTAATAGGAAGTGGCCATTCCCAAACTGTTCCCACAAAGTTGAGAGCATGAAATTGTCCAAAATGACTAGGCATGATGCCTTAAGAGTTCCCTTCACTAGAACTAAGGGGCCAAGCCCAACCCATGAAAAACAACCCCACACCATAATCCCCCCCACCACCAAACTTTACACTTGGCACAATGCAGACAGGCAAGTACCGTTCTCCTGGCAACCGCCAAACCCAGACACATCCATCAGACTGCCAGACAGAGAAGCGTGGTTTGTTACTTCAGAGAACACGTCTCCACTGCTCTAGAGTCCAGTGGTGGCATGTTTTACACCGCTGCATCTGAGGCTTTGTATTGCACTTGGTGATATAAGGCTTGGTTGCAGCTGCTCGGCCATGGAAACCCATTCCATGAAGCTCTCTACGCACTGTTATTGTGCTAATCTGAAGGCCACATGAAGTTTGGAGGTCTTCTGCGCACTGTGCGCTTTAGCATGCACTGACCCTGCTCTGTAATTTTACATGGCCTACCACCACTGAGTTGCTGTTGTTCCCAGTTGCTTCCACTTTGCTATAATACCACTAACAATTGACTGTGGAATATTTAGTTGCAAGGAAATTTCATGGATGGACTTATTGCACAGGTGGCAGCATATCACAGAATTCACTGAGCTCCTAAGAGCAACCCATTATTTCACAAATGTTTGTAGAAGCAGTCTGCATGCCTATGTGCTTGATTTTATACACCTGTGGCCATGAAGGTGATTGGAACACTTGAATCCAATGATTTGGAGGGGTTTCCCAATACTTCAGCAATATAATGTATCTGGAGTCTGCTAGTTCTTATGTGCCTTGTACTCTTACCTCTTTCTGGAGTATTGAGTGAGAGACAATAAATTCTTACAGAGTACACAGAATTAAAAAAAACACAACCCCACATTCCATAAACTCTTTCTTATCCCATTATCCCTAATTATTCTAAAATATTACAATTTTTTTAATTTTATTTTATGTTTATTATTTACTATTTATTTTATTTTTATTTTTTTGATATATAAATGAAAAAAGACAGAAAATGTTGAAATAAAAAACAATATTTTTAATTTTCTGCTATAAAGCATATACAATAAAAAACATTAAAAATCTAATTTCTTCATAAATTTTGGACAAAATGTATTGCTGTTACGTTTTTAATTTAAAAAAATCCCAATAAGTGTATATTGATTGGTTTGCATGAAAGTTATAGCACCTACAAACTGTGGTATATACTGTACACTGGAATGTTTATTTATTTATTTTATACTACTAATGGCAGGAATTAGCAACTTGTAATGAGACTGCAATAGTGTAGCGGGGAATATGATACTGACTAACGCTGGGGGAATTGACTAACTGCCACTGACATCACCAGTGATATTCATACATTGATCAGTGATAATATTATAGAACATCACTGTACTAAGGACACTGGCTGGGAAAATGTAAATATCTAGGACAATCAAGAGGTTAAATGTGTTTCTAACTATGTATAGTGTGTGTAAAATGTGCTGCCTAAACTAATAGATCTCTCATCTCTGATGATAAACACATAGTTTGTTCCTTCTGTACAGAGCTCTGGGTTGTGATTGTACACAGCCAATAAGCAGGTCCCACAATCAATGTTTGGGACTTGCTGATAGGCTCCTACCACAATCACAGTGGGTGCTGGCCAGGGGGGGGGGGGGGGGGGCGCAAATACGCAGGACCAAAACCCTGAAGAAGTCAACGATGTGCGGATACTTCACTTTGCCTACAGTGGCCGTCTGGCCACAGTACATTACTAGTGGGCAGTTGTTAAGTGGTTAAAACCCCTTCAAAAATAAATGAATAAGCACTCTGAACCCAAAAGAAGTAGAGCCTCACCAAAGTGTAATTGAAATGTAGACAGCCTAGTACCTAAAGTGCAGGCAAGGATAACCTTACAATGAAAAATAATTTTAACTTTTTCTGATAAAAATGTAAAATGACAAACAAATGCTAATCTTGACATATTGTTTCAAATAAATAATTAAAAAACCTACTTTCTTAACATTAGAGACAGTCTTATTTTTACTCTTACCTACACAATGGGATTCCTTGGAGCCATACCTTAGTCAGGCGAGTACCTGAGCTGGCTGCCTTATCTTGCAAGGAACCTTTTTTTATTTTATTTTTTTTCAAAGTGACAAGATGGTGTTTAGGTCTAGGACTTTCTTTTTTTTCAAGGTAGCTCTCAGATTGCATTATTGACATCGATGTCCAGTTTTTTTATATATATAAAAAAAAATATATAAACATAAAAAAGATGCAGCACACAAAGAACAGCTTTGCCTGTATCAGGACAAGTGGTAAACCAAAGCCAATGTGTATAAGGGCAGCTAGGCAGTTATGCCTACAGTGCAGGTGAGCCCAAGATAGTAAAGGCAGCTATGGCAAACAGATGAAGATGAAAGGGGGGGGGGGGGGTTATTTGGAGCACCTCTCTGTTGTACAGAACTGTGTGGTGATGCATCACAGTAAAAAGGGCAAAAAAACAATGAACACCGCTCCAGGTCGGTCCCCTCTTCCACTGCCATTCACACACTGAATATCGGGTGTTAGCCATATCCGCATCAAACCCCAATAAACAAAGAAACATCCAGCAAAATCACCTATATTTCTTGTTATGGCATATTCCACAAAACATGGCAGGGATACAGGACTCCAGCTAACGCGTTTCACGCTCCATTAGTGCTTAGTCATAGCTCAGAATATAATGTCAAACACAGATATAAATACACACTTAAAGAACAAACAAAATAAATCACTAATTGAAAACACTCATTGAAAAAACCTGAGTTGACAAATAGAATGCAGCTGCCAATTACCCAGCTGCTGCTACTGTGTTCATTGAAACATACTAAACATTAAACATTTAAAACCATCAAAAACACAATACCAAATATTTGGAAGAAAAAATGCTTATACATAGGGCACAGGATTAGAAAATGTATATTATCAAAAGATAAATGAAAATAAACACCAGAATCAAAGAAGTCTAATTTTCTCATGTTCATAATAGTGTGACACATCCCACTCATGATTTAACCCCAAGAGATTCCTTGTGCCTAGACAAAAAATCCCAAAAACTTCTTTTTTACACAGTATTCTGTACCTATCTCACCCTCTTGCAGGGACTATAGCCCTTTCTATACCTTGTATTTGTAATGTAGAGACACCACCACTATTTCATTCGTTAAAATTGTTTGTTACATTAGTGGAATGTTCTATACTAATATCATAGGGATGATCATGTAATCGATCCCTCAGTCTACGGTTTGACTGACCCATGTATTGAATGGAGCAGAGTTTGCAGGTAATAACATAAACCAAATTCCTTGCAGGGGCGGACTGACAACTCATGGGGCCCCCGGGCAATAGGGGATCATGGGGTCCCTGTGTCCTTGCCCAAACTCCAAAAACCCTATGAAAAAGGTACAAGGGGCATCTCATGTGGCCCCCTACTGAACCCGGGCCCTAGGGCAGTGCCCGAATTTCCAAATGGTCAGTTTGATTGATTCCTTGATTCCTGATTCCTTGTATTACAATTGATAGAGGAAAGCATCCTAAAATCCCTTCCCACACTCATCGAGCACACAGTGTCACCAATCTTGACATAGGGACAGCACGGACAGTCACCTCCACACTTGAAAATTTAAGCCAATGAGAGGCTGGAGCAGGCTTACTAGAAAACAAACTAGGAGACAAATAACCTCCTAAGGTAGGTGCCCTCCGTGACTGTCTGTGCTATCTCCATGTCAGAACCAAAGTCACCTCATGGAAGGTGGGCAGTTTTTTTCCCATTAGGTGTTCCCCTTCACTTATACTTAAAGGCTGGTGGATACAGCCACCATCAGGAGATACGGCAAAGAGGTTCTTTGCTTCGCTACCTAGGGATGGGGCACTCTTGTGCTCACCCTTGAATCAGGGATGGGTGAAATGTCCCCCCTTAAAGCCACCACAAATTTCCTCCTCACCACCAGCACCCCAGTCCTCCTCCTCTTTAATGCCAGTGGCCAAACCCTTCTTTTACTCCTCATATTCCTCTTTTACATCCTGCTGCCTTTGTCTTACGAGAAGGATAGCATTAGGCAAAGGATCCTGCTGGCCCTGAGACAGCAGGATATCCCCCTCTTCCTCCTGCTGCTGTACCTTCAGCGTCCAGTCCAGGGGCAAACTGACAAATCATGGGGCCCCCTGGCAATAGGAGATCATGGGGCCCCTGTGTCCTTGCCGAAACTCAAAAAAAGCCTATGAAAAAGGTACCAATGGCATCTCATGGGGCCCCCTACTGACCCTGGGCCCTCAGCAGTGCCCAAGTTTCCAAATGGTCAGTCCACCCCTGGTCCAGTGCATTACACCACTTAGTGCTCCTGCAGGAACACCAGAGGTATTGTGTTACTAATCCCCACTTCATTTTGGCTCACTTTATTCAATTTTCACTGCTTCTTTTTTCACTGGGTGTGAGCAGCTTATAGTTAGGTTGCTGATTCTGATTCTTTTTTTTAATTAAATTTTCCACACTCTCACTGAGACTGGATATGGGGGTGATTAGGGGGCCTCTTTTATTCTTGCACTCCAGCAGCTGTGGAGGACACATATGGGGTCATGGATAGGATAAGTTAGGAGACTTACAACAAGGTTAAAGCCTACGCTAAACCCATGCTGACCCTGTTCCCCACCTGATGTTCTATAAAGTAAGCCTTTTCCAACCCTTTGTCAGACTTTCCTCCCTGTCCCTGAGGGTACAGACAGGGCCGGGTCTGATGTCGGGGTGCAGTAACAAAGGTCAGGCAGGCAGGGGATGGGATGTCAGCAGGACAGTGTACAGAAACAGAAATCAGTAGGGCGAGTACAGTTGTCAAATGTGTGGATGTGGGAGTTGAATTATTTTTTATGTTCAACCTGCTGGTTGAACAACAAAAAAAAATGACTGATGTATGGGCTGCCTTACTGAGCCTACCTTAAAGTGTAAGTTCACCTTTATAAAAAATCTGTAAGGTGACATAACACTGCACCTTTCCTACACCCCCCTAGTCCCACTGTACTTACCTCACATGATCCTGCGCTGTCCAGTCCCTGCATGCCACATGGCTTAATTTCCTCTCTATACTGTGCAGCCAATATGGACCAGATGGATTCTAATTGGTCCGCACTGTCACATGAATGGCACTTCCTGTCAACACTGCAAGGAGAGGAGAGAAAGGCGCAGGGATTTCAAATCCCCTGATTAGTGGAACCACATGCAGAAGCCTGACAGCACAGGATTGTGGGAGGTAAGTACAGTGGGACTGAGGGGGATGGATAGGGGTCCAGTGTTAGGTCATCTTACAGATTTTCAATAGAAGTGAACTTACAATTTAAAGAAGAACTTCATTTAAACCAACAACAGTTGAGACAATGATCACCTTGATCAGGTCTATGTACAGTATAATGTATAAAGTAGATGGGTCAGGAGTAAGTAAAAGAAGAAAACTGTATAGAATGTAGCAGTCAGGATGTTCACATTAGAGCTCTCCCTTATATCAAAGTCATCAGTATTCCCCCTACACATCAGAGTCCCCCTTAAATCTGTGTCTTCAAAGCCCCACCTTACATCAGAGTCCGCAGAGTCCCACCTTACAGCAGAGTACCGCCCCTTACATCAGAGCCCAGCAGAGTGTCCTTTTCACCACTGGTGGGTGGATGACATGAAAAGGCTTTAAAAAAAACCCCTTATTGCTGGATCTTTGCTACAAATGCACAGTTCCAGAGCCAGGCAATTAGCAAACTGCCAGGCTCAGCCGAAACTCATGCGATGGAGCGTGTGAATATAAGCCATGCCTGATAAGTGCCATGATGTCACTGTACAGGTGCATGCCCCGGACCTGCCCACACCCAGACCTGCCCATGCCTGGACCTGCCCACACCCAGACCTGCCCACGCCCAGACCTGCCCACGCCCGGACCTGCGCACGCCCGGAACCTGCCCACGCTCAGACCTGCCCACGCCCAGACACCCCGCCCACGCCCGGACCTGCCCACACACCCAGACCTGCTTACGCCCAGACCTGCCCACGCCGGGACCTGCCCACACCCAGACCTGCCCACGCCCGGACCTGCCCAGTCCCACACTTGCCCTGCTGCCTGATCTGAGGTGGAGCCCGGCAATTCTCTCATAGGATGGCTCCATAACGGTGCATGTGCAGTTCAGAGCTGATGACAAGGGGATTTTTTAGGACTCTTTTCTTCTGTCTGCATTTATGGTCAGGTCAGGAGAAAAGTGCCTGTTTTCTTACAAACCATCTGTAAATTTACAGACAGTTGGCAACACACGGCTGGGGTGTACACATGCTGCCACTGTGATTCTTTGTTTCGTGGTCATGACAAAAATGATACCCTCTGTTGCTGTCTGTGGGCACAGTGCCTGATAACCATGTTCTAGTCAAGTGAATGGAGCTGCTCTGCACAACTGCATGCAATGTATACAGTTGCGGAGTGCTAATGTGGGGTTCCAGGGGTTAAAGCAGGTGGTGAGGAACACCTCCTCGCTGCCTGCCAAATGCTCTCTGAAGAGTGATCTGAGTACAGATCAGTCTACAGAGATCAAAGCTAGTTAGAAGGAGCTCTTAAAGGGATTCTGGGAAGGAGAGGGGTAACAGAAGCATGACAAACTTATGAGTTAAAAATCTATCAGTTTATCCAACTAGTAGTTGGTCAGCCATCTACCAATAGTACTTCGGGTGTCCCTGGACATGAAATCAACTCTGCAAGTTTGTGAAACCTAGAACAGAGAGGAGGGGGAGAGAAGGGAGGAAGAAGGGGACAGGTCAGTCATTGAGCAGTGCTCAGTGTTCACTCACGAAAGACTCATCAAACATACAGAGAGGATGGAGCTTCCAGGGGCTGTGCTTCATATCTCCGCCCACATTCCCTTTCTGAGGCACCGCACTGGCCGTGTGTGGGCGGGGAAGACAGGAGGAGAGGGGCGGGAGCAGCTGGAGCAGATTGAGTCCTGTCTCCTGTCCTGCCTATGCAGAGAGGAGGGGAGAGAAGTGGAGGAAGAAGGGGACAGGTCAGTCATTGAGCAGTGCTCAGTGTTCACTCACGAAAGACTCATCAAACATACAGAGAGGATGGAGCTTCCAGGGGCTGTGCTTCATATCTCCGCCCACATTCCCTTTCTGAGGCACCGCACTGGCCGTGTGTGGGCGGGGAAAGACAGGAGGAGAGGGGCGAGAGAAGCTGGAGCAGATTGAGTCCTGTCTCCTGTCCTGCCTATGCAGAGGGGAGGGGGGAGGAGGGGCCGAGAGCTCAATGTCTGGAGTCTGTGACGCACTGAGATTTGGCAGATACAGACAGACGCCCTTCACACTGCTTCCCTGAAGAATGGTTTGGCAGCCCTGCCTGGGCACAGTATCCATGGGGGGAGGTTGCCTGGGTGGGCGCAGCTGCAATCTGGGGGGGGGCACACCCCAGCACCCCCCTAGATCTGGCCATGGCTACAGATGTGGCAATGGAGGCAAAATTATGTATCTTGTGGAGGAATAGGAAAGGTGAAAGTATAGATAAAGGTGGAGTGTGGGAAGGCCAAGCCAAGGGGTAAGCAGAAGAGGGTGTCGTCTTAGGATTTTTAGCAGGAGAGGGGTACAAAAAGGGCAGGACCTGCAACCTATGGAAGGTGGGGTGCACCGTGGTTACTTTACCTTGGGTGCTCAAGCACCTCATCTCATCAAAATGAGTGAGCCTTTTGCTGCAGACTGGTATCATTGAGGTGCTGCTCCCCCTGAGATCTTGAGTGTATAATCATGTGTTTCCTGATGAATGTGGCACCCAAATGTATGATACTTTTACCACAGTTATTACAATGCAGGTGGAGGCTGCAGACTACATCAGTTCTGTTGGCAATAGAAGCCCACATCGTGGAACTCATTCAATTTTCTGCCTGTTCAAGTGTTTTGATACTATCCTAGTGCTTGCCAATTTCTACCAAACACATAACTAAAGTCCAAAAACAGAATTGAAGTCCAAACACAAAATAAAGTCCATATTTTTTCTATTTTGAAGATAATTGAAGATACAGCTATGGAAGGGGGTTTGGGGAATGTGGGTTGTGGTTCTGAAGTGTTTTGACATCAATGATGATAAAAGATAATGCAGTAGTGCTAAAAAAGGAAGAGCACAATTTATGCTACCAAACTGTGGTGCAATTAGCCAATTTGTATTAGGTTGAGGACTTAAGCTTTACTATTTTTTAAGAGTATAATTTTTCTATAGCTTTTAGATCTCTTATGGCTGCTACTCCTACTGGTCAGTTCATGCCTTTTATAGCTAGTTATTATGATTGTTAAATAGTATTTCTAAATTCATAATTTGGCACTTATAGGACTTATATTATATTCATGGCAAGCTTGCAAAATATCTGTTTTTTATTATTAATCATAATTAATATTAAAATGTGTGGTTGGCCTTGAAAAAGTGATAGTGTTGAATTCTTCAGTTATAGCTGAGCCAGAAAAATGTCAGAGTATTTGAAGTTAACTAGCTGGAAGCTGAGTTTTTAGGGCATAGCTAGTTGGAAGATCTCTGGTGTAGAGTGTCATGGGAGTCAAAAGTAAGCCAAAATAGAACTAGTATGAAATAGTATATTCTAGTAGTATCTGTGCATGTTTAATTTATGTCTTATAAGTTGGTAATACGCGTTACGTAAGATTTTTGGTTATACAACATTATTGAGATATTATGTTGTAAAGATAGATTCTTAGTTATGCTATCCTTAGTGCTCATCCATGCCACCTGCCAGTGCCCATCAGTGCCACATCAGTGCCACATTTCAGTGCCTACCAGTGCACATCAATGCCACATATCAGTGCCCATCTGAGCTGCCTTTCAGTGTCACCCATCAGTGCCAGTCAGTGCCAGCTATCAATGCCAGTCAGTGCCACCTATCAGTGCTGCTAATCAGTGCCACCTATCAGTGCCAGTCAGTGCCGCCTATCAGTGCCAGTCAGTACTGCTTATCAGTGTGCATCAGTGCTGCCTATCAATGCCTGTCAGTGCCTGTCAGTGCTACGTATCAGTGCTGCCTAAAAGTGCCATTCAGTGCCACCTAACAGTGCCAGTCAGTGCCGCATATCAGTGCCAGTCAGTGCCGCCTATCAGTGCCATATATGAGTGATGCCTTTCAGTGCCCATCAGTGATGCCTGTCAATGCCCATCAGTGCGATCTACCAGTGCCTCCTCGTCAGTGCCCATCAGTGCCACCTATCAGTGTCCATCAGTGCAGGCTATCAGTGCCCATCACTGCAGCCTCATTAGCGCACATCAGTGAAGGAGAAAAATCACTTATTTACAACATTTTATAACAAAAACTAAGAAAAAAATTGTTTTTTTTTTTTCAAAATGTTCAGTGGTTTGGTTTGTTTAAGAAAAAATAAAAAACCCAGAGGTGATTAAATACCACCAAAATAAAGCTCTATATGTCTCAAAAAAATGATTTTAAAAATTTCATATGGGTACAGTGTTGCATGACCACGCAATTGTTATTCAAAGTGCAACAGCGTTGAAAGCTGAAAATTGGCCTGGGCAGGAAGGGGGTATAAGTGCCCTGTAGGCTAGTGGTTAATAAGCAAGAATCACATCGCATTATACAAAATTGACAGGCCACTGTGACAATGTGAGTCATATCCTTCAGCTTATTTATATTTCAACAAAGAGACAATGCTGATCCTTCCTGTTATCACTGTTATCAATAGATAATAAAACCTCAATTTACTCATTAGTCATATGGTCATCTTTAATGGACCATTGGGGGCTTTGACCTTGATTTGGGAATGGGTGGGTGCCCTCTATCAAGATGTATTTATTTATCACAGGTACTTATATAGCTTCGTCAATTTACGTAGCGCTTTACATATATATTGTACATTCACATCAGTCCCTAACCCTCAAGGGGTGTACAATCTAAGGTCCAAAGGTGTTCATACAGTACCTGGGCTTTTTATTATCTAATGATAACAGAAGGATTAGACAAGGATACATTTTGCCCCTTGTTTGGCAATGGAACATTAGCAGCTTACAGTCCTTAGATGTGCTGGCTACCTTAGTTTTTCAAGTTAAGAGCTTTTTCAGCAAGCACAGAAATACAGGACATGTTAAACTCGAATGTCTTCCTTCCTAGCTACCTTCTGCAGTCTACCAATTTCCTTCCCCCCCATGTAATGCAGACGAAGAGATATGGACATGTTTTTAGTCCATATCAGGAGAGCAGCCTATGGTACCCTCCAGAGATACAGTGAATAAGCAATGTAGCCGCTCGGGGACAGGAAGTGTGTTATTCGTAGGAATACCAGCAGAAAATAAAGCAAAATTAGCTTGAAAAAAAAAAAGGGAAAACAAATGCAGCCACCACACCAAGGACTAGCAAGTTGCAATATATAACATTTTTGGTTTAGGGTTTAAATTAAAATCTGAATACTGTATATGGAGGTTGGAATCAGATATAGCCATACAATTTGTCTTTTTGCAGATGACGTAATAATGTTCTTAAGTAATTGGCTCATATCCCTGCCTAATCTCTTCTCTGTTTCGGGTGAATTCAAGTGGTTTTCTGGGCTACAAATAAAAAATGATAAATGCCTAGCTCTAAACATAAATTTATCCCTAGAAATACTCTTGCAAACCTCAAAACACATTTCCCTTTTTGCTGGGAAACCACTCATCTCTCATACCTAGCGATATACCTTACTATCTCTAACAAACCCTTATACTTGGCTAACTATCCAGCTCTGCTGAGGCAACACCACCTCCTTACAGAATCTTGTAAAAAAAGTTTTCTGGCTAGGTTACATAGCGGCAATCAAAATGACAGCTTTTCCCAAACTTTTTAATCTGTTTTTCATGCTCTCTGTTAAAGTTCCCTGGCAAATACCTCGTATTCTTCAGAGGCAAATATGGTCTTTCAGAAGAAGCTTGCCTTTTGACAGTTTATTACCCCAACCAAACAGGTTCTAATAGGAGTATGGTGGGCATTTAATCCCACAATCACTCAAGCGAAACAGAAATTGAACTGATTCTTTCTCATCAAAAATGGCCATGATCCTTAAAGATTCCATCTCTAAATTCAAAAAGGTCTAAACAGCCTGGGTCGCTCAATATCTCCCAGTTGATGTAGATTGTACATTGCTAGATATCTAATAGGAGACCCCATGGCTTTAATGTCACTGCAGTAAGAACTCATACCAAGTTCCTTCCCTACCTATCTGACCATCTCCACTGCACCTCACAAAGAACCATTTGAGGTTTCCTTTCCCCCTCTAGCACTTGTTTCACATATTTACCTTTCTATTAGTCACAGGACAGTCCTGGATGCAACATTTCATCTTTCATTCCTCTGCCTCTTCCTCTTCCTCTTATCTACCTACCAGCCACATTAGCATCATACATTGATGTGTTGGTCTAGGGATACTCATAGTTTGTAAGTAATGATTAGTTGCAGTCCCTTTTGTTGTTATGGGTGGTAGCTCATCCAGTTCAGTTCTTAGACTGTAAGCTCTAATGGGCATGGCCCTCTGATTCCTCTTGTATTGAATTGTATTGTAACTGTACTGTCTGCCTCATGTTGTAAAGCACTGCACAAACTGTTGCCGCTATAGAAATCCTACATAAGACTAATAAATAAAAATTCGGATGATTCCAGGTATATTGTCATTCTTTTATACTTTACTGTGTTAATGCATATTTTAAAAACTTCACTAAAAATGTATTGAAACAGAAAGCCAACTCCACAAAACAACTTATTTGACATGCTTTACCTGTCAGAGCCAGGAGTCAAAGCCCGTGTTTGCTCTGTGTGATGATGTTAAGGCTTACACAGTTGACGAAGTCTTCCTCAATTGACAGAGTTAAGATCAGATAGACCACACAAACCAAGCACTGAATCTTGTGTGGATATCACACGCTCCACCATACCTAGAAGCTCTGGGAAATTGTTCTGGGTTTGCAAAAGTTCCGTCAGGGATATGAAATGTTGAAAGAGCATGACAAACAAGCGTTAGTAGCTCATGGGTTGACTTTTGAAAAATTTTGCACCGAATGGGCAAAGTGAAAATTAAACTTATACTTTAAATCTCCAAATAAAATGTCATATTTGGTTTCCATCATGTCTCTTGTAATGTTCTTGTTTAAGGACTATAGTTCATTATGATAATATTACATTTTTTAATCTTAAGAATATTTTTGTGGGGTTTATGGAGCAGGAGGTTTATGTTTGGCTATTTACAGAATAGCAAAGTGGAATTAGGCCTCCCTAGAGATTTGACATAATATGCAAGCATGTACAGCACATTTGCATGTTATGGCACTCTTATCTTGTAATGTGCCCCCCTATAACTCTTGAACATCCGTATACTGCCTTATCGCTCCATCACTTTAATTTGTTCTCCTTCTTCCAAAATCAGAAACATTCTGCTGCTATCATTTGCTAGGCTGGGATGATGTAAGTCTCACAAAGGAATTCGTTTGTCCTGGCGCCCAGCGCTTACTCCTGGCATCTGCATTGCTGTTAGTGTACAATTCATAAAAAAAACTGCTAACAGGCAGAAAGAAACATTTTATGGCAGCATAAACACAAATAGTCTGTTCTACGATACCCGTGTGGTAGCAGTGTTTAACATTTCAGTTTCTGCTTTAAATAAATACTTTTGGTTTTTTTTGTCTCATTTTGGTTTGATTTTTTTAACTGCTCAGAGTTTCCTGGTGTATTTTTTGTATTAGCCTTTTTCAGTCACTTCCTGTTGAGAATTTAGTTTCATGTGTAGTGCTACCCCCATAGGAGCCGCCTGAAAGATCCCCAGGGTTCTTTTCCAAATAATTGCACTGCAGCTAATAACATTGTTCCAGCCACTCCTTAGGTTCATCAACCAATCTAAGAGTATGATTTTTGATGCTTTAATGAAATCTTGTACTTGGATAGATATAGGGTAACTGTAGGATACTCCAGTAACTATTAGCAATGAACTTGAGGACCCTACTCTTCCACTTAGAAATGTGAGCATGATTCCTTACTTGCAGCAAATCCTGGAGTGAGATTTTCAGGAACTCTATAATAGTGAATTCCTTTTTTGGTAGGACTGAAAAAGGCTGACTCTATTGCAAGAGGGATAGTAGCAGCACACAGTGCCAGAGATCTCTCACACAGGTCTGTACTCACTAATTGGCCTCCTCCTTCCAATAGCTTCCAGACTCCTTTTCCAGTGATACCAGACTAGATCCCCAAGAAAATATCCTCTTGGCCAGCGTCAGCAAAGTAACTATAGGATGTTCCAGAAGTAACCAGAGTTCTGAAAAGACAGATAGAGAGCAATCAAAACTGCAGAATGTAAGACACTTACCAGACCCAGGGACGGACTGACAACTCATGGGGCCCCTGTGTCCTTGCCCAAACTCAAAAAAGCCTATGAAAAAGGTACCAGGGGCATCTCATGGGGCCCCCCTACTGACCCCGGGCCCTCAAGCAGTGCTCGAGTTTCCAAATGGTCAGTCCGCCCCTGACCAGACCTAACCAATCATATGCAGCTACACTGATTACAGTGGGTTAGAACTAAATTTGCCTAACCCAGGAATTTCAGCCACACTGAAAAAAGTGAGACAAACTAAATTTACCTAACAACAAAAACACAGCTCCGCTGAGCACATTGAGCCAGAACTAAATCTACCTAATCCTAGTACTGATATAGGAGGGTGCTACACAAGTGTAAAACCTATAGAAATGTTTTTTTACACAAAGGTTCCCTTCTTCATCAGCATCATCATACTTCAATCTCCTGGTTGAGATTGTCTGCCTTTCAGATCCCCCCTCACAGCACCCACTGTGATCCATGGGGCAGAACACATGAACCCACACAGCAAGATCCAACATCTCCAGAGGTACCTCCTATATTTGCCCATCTCTACTCTTGCATGAATTTCCAAGGGTCATTTTAAAGACTTTTTACAAGTATGATTTATGAGCAATATATGATTATTTTATTGGGGTCAGTGTCAGGGAAGTTACAAAGCCTGGTATCTTTAGGTATGAGGGTGACTTAAACTGTGAACTGGTAAGCACATCCAACTATCCAGCCTACATGGAGTCTCACAATAGCATCCCTTTGCAAGGATTGTTTGAGCTTTAAGCATCTAGGACAAGCATACTTACAAAGCTCATCTTCAGGTATTTTATCTACACCAAAATGTTTATTTGGCTCAGCTGAGATCATGTCTTTAAATCTTTATTAAAACATGTTTGGGCTTTTCTTTTTGCAAACCACCCATCTTTTTGTCCATTACCAATAGCAACGCTGAGAGGGGAAAGGTTAGGCACTTT